GGCCCTGGCTAAAGTAAAAACAGAGGGAGAACCTGGGACCTGTCTCTTTCACTGTCTGGCCCACAACCAGGGTCTAGTTTCATGGTCACCTCCTCCAGGAACCTCCCCTATTCTTCCCCCTCCATTAGGGTCCTCCCTACCCAGAGGTCATGTATTCCATTTGAGTCCTTGATTTCCTTGGACCCCTCCACAGTTAGTTCCTGAAGATGGAGCTAGGCTCAGAAAACTAAGCTGAGGGTTGAAGACCTGGAACCTAGCCCTAACTGCCTGGCAGGTGTGTGCCCTAGGCAAAGTCTTTGTGATCAGACTTCAGGTTTCTGTTGGAAGCCAAGGAAGTTAGACTTGGGTTCTGATTCCAGAACTCTGGGTCTAAACCACTACCTGGAAGGAACATAACTCATAGAGGTTTCCCTTCTAGGAACTTGCTGCTCCTTTCTGGTTGGAACTAAGGTGGGTCCCAGTGTCCATAGTCTAGGCTAGGGTAAAGCTAAGAGGGTCCTCCCCGCCACGGGGTGGGGGGTTGGGGACATTTTTCTACCTGACAGAATCTTCGCAGCGTCCGCTGGTTAGTCAGTTTATACTTCCAGGTAAGATACCAGCTCCGCTTCTTCCTAGCCCCAAAGGGCTTCATGAGGGGACTGGGCTTCCAGTCGTCCATGCTCTATTAGGGGGGTCACCACTGTCCCGGCCAGTCCATGACTTCAGGAATCTGAGGGGAGCGGAGGGTCACACAGAGTAAGGAGCTCCTCCCAAAGCCTGATGCCTTCTGCAGAGATGACCTCCCAGCAACTCTTCCCTGCAAACATTCATATTGTGTGACCTGGAGAAAGTGGCTCAACTTCTCTGGCCCCAGCAGAGAAACCTTCAGAGGGGTAGTATCACCTGGAAATTCTCTGGGGCTGGGGGAATTACCTAAATCAGGGCTGCTTGAGGCCTCATGGGTGGAGGCCAAATCATCGGCTCTAAAGGTTCATCAGCCCCTGAAAGGGACAAGCCCCAGACCTTCCCAGTCCTGGGGTGGGCCAGGAACAGAGACCTCCTCCGCCCCAATCCTCACCCTCGCCCCATCCTATCTGGCCCCACTCTTCTGCTTCCGGAGCTCAGGGCCACCTAAAGGGTCAGGAGATCTGTCTCGGTCGCATGACTCCTCCCGGGCCCCCGCCCCGAGGAACTCACAGCTCTGGGGCCTGGTGCCCCTCTCGGGCCCGCACTGCTCGGCCCGGCGCGCCGCGGCCTCCGCCTCCTCCATGCCGCTCGCAGCCCCGCCCCGGCCCGGCCGGCCCGCCCCCCCGCTTCCGCCGCCGCCGCCGCCGCCGCCGCCGCCGCAGGGTGAGAGGGCAGCGGGCGGCGCTTAGGGCTGCGGCCACGGCGGGCAGTCTGCCGCTTGCGGGGGGTGGGGTGAGGGTCGGGGTAGTGTGCGGGGGAGTGGGGGTGGGGGTGGGGGTGGGAGTGGGCGGGTGTGCAGGGCCTTCCCCGCAGCTTCGTGGTCCCTCTGGCGGGTCAACTGCAGCGCGGGAGCAGCCCGATCCCCAGCACTTCCCAGGGCAGTTGTAGTCCTGGCCGGGTAGACCAGATCATTGGGTCAGAGGGCTACATGGCGCACACAACTCCACCCACCGCCAACCCTCCCGAGCAAGGCTGTTACCCACGCCAAGGGCATGCACAGCCTTTGCAGGTGAAGGGGGATTAAAAAGCTGGTTCTATACTACTGCTCTGAACACTATATTGTCATTTAATTCCACCGCAACCCATAAGGTATAGGCACTGTTAATACCCCCAACCTTAGATAAAGAGAAGCGCAGTTATCACAAAACTGGGAGTGCTGGAATTAAATCCAGGTGGCCTGGCTCCAGCTTCTGTTCTATGGCACTTACACTGGCCTTAGTAATGGAGAGTCGTGAAGTTTAAATGAGATAATATGTGTAAAGCGCTTAGTGTAACGAAGATTCTCAAGCTTTAACTTTTATCAGAATCTCCTTGATTGAAACAGAACGCTACCCCCCCATAGAGTTTTAGATTGAGTAGTCCGATTTTTGCTATTTTTCTTGGAGCTGGGAAAAGAACCCAGGACCTCCTGCATGCTGAGCTATACCCATAGCCCCAGATTTTTGCACTTACAAGTTTCTAGTTGCTACTGATATGTTTTGGGGTAGCTGTGGAACCTTTCTAGGCATCTGAATTCCACTGTTATGTGGAAAATGAACTGAGAGAAGAGAGGAAGCCAGAAGACATTTAGAAGAGTGCTTGTCTTAGGCGTTGAGGCAATAGGTGATTTTCCCTAATAAATTTGTGTTAAAAGAAAACCAGACACATTTTATTTTATTTGCATTTTAAAAAGATTTCCTCAGGGCTCCTCTCTGACCTGTCCTCAAAATCACTCTCCATGGAAGATCTCATTTACTTTCATGACCTCCATCCATTACCTTGAGATTCCCAAACTCACATCTGCAGTCTTGACCCCTCTCCAGAGCTTCTGGCTGTCCTGTGTCCACCCACCTGCTGGGCATCTCCACTGGCCTCTCCCAACTGCATCTCTACCCACTCCCAGATCTCCTTTGAGTTCCTTTCCTTGGTAAATTGCACCAGGCCAGACAGCTGCGGGTCATCCTTGACTCCTGCTTTCTCTCCAGTGACCAGGTATGTTTGTATGGTCTGCAGAATACCACACACAGTGGGATCTCCATAATAGTTGTCAAAATGATTCCTTTTTTTGTGTGGTACCAGGGCTTGAACTAGGCAGGCACTCTACCACTTGATTTAGGCCCCCAGCCCTTTTTTGCTTTAGTGTTTCAAGTAGGGTCTCAAGTTTTTGCCCAGAGCCTATCTAGACCTAAGGCCTCCTGAGTAGCTGGGATCATGGATGCATGCCACGACACCTGGCTTATTAATTGAGATGGGGTCTCACTAACTTTTTGGCTGGGTTGGCCTTGGAACCATGATTTTCGCAGTCTCCACCTCTTAAATGGTTGGGATTATGGTGTGAGCCACCCGGTAAAGCCATTCTTTTGGTTCTTGAACAAATATTTATTATTATTTTGTGGTACTGGGCCCACATTTTAAGTCACTCCACCAGCCCTTTTGTGATGGGTTTTTTTCAAGATAGGGTCTCTCAACTACTTGCCCGGGCTGCCTTCAAACCATAATCCTCCAGCTCTCTGCCTCCTCAATAGCTAGGATTATGAGCATGAGCCACTGGTGCCTGGCAATAAATATTTATTTATTGAATGTCACTATAAATAAATGTAATCACTCACCCAGTTCTGTCAATGTTACCTTCTACACAGCCTCCCACTCTAATTCTTGTCCAACCAACCTCTGGTCCAGGCTATTTCACATTGTTATCTTCCAGCTGGTTTCCTTGACTCCAAATTATTACCCCGCCAAACCTTTTCAAAAAGGTAAAAGTGTTGTCAATCGCTGATGTAAAACCTTCTATGTATTAGCCAGGCACTGGTGGTTTACTGGTGGCTCATGCCTGTAATACTAGCTACTCAGGAGGCAGAGATCAGGCGAATCACAACTCAAATAGTTCCCTAAGAATATAGTTCCCTGAGACCCTATCTCAAAAAACCCTTCACAAAAATGGGCTGGTGGAGTAGCTCAAAGTGAAGGCCCTGAGTTCAAGCCCCAGTACCACAAAAATAAAATAAAATAAAAATTTAAAAAATAGCTGGGATGTAGCTCAGTGGTACAGTGCTTGCCTAGCATGCACGAGGCCCTGGGTTTGATCCCAGCACCAAAAAAGAAAAAGACAAAATGAAAATTTAAAAAATATAAAAAGGTAACCATAGATGGACTAAAAATAATGATAGAAATATATAGGGCTAATGGGAGGAAGGGAAGTACAGAATGTGAGTTAAATCCATATATCCATAGGAAATCAATCCATGTGAATAAGAAGTCAGGCCAGGCACTGGAGGCTCAAGCTTGTAATTCTAGCTACTCAGGAAGCAGACATCAAGAAGATCAAGGTTCAAAGCCAGCACCAGGCAAATAGTTTGCAAGACCCTATCTCAAAAATACCCAACACAAAAAAGGGCTTGTGGAGTGACAAGGTGTAGGCCCTGAGTTCAAATCCCAGTACCACAAAAAAAAATCAGTAGACAGTATTTCAAATTAACAAATAGTAGCATAGACTATTATTTAGAATTGTGGAAACACCAGGAAAGAAAAAAAGTTTGCCTCTGGGTAGTGGGCTTTAGAGATGTGAATGGGTAGGGCAGGGTAACTTTTTTCAGTTAAATCCTATAACTATGGACTGGAATTACTTTGATTTAAGAGCCTGAACCAAACAAAATGGTTTTTCATGACTCCTCATTACCTGTAGAATAAAGTTCAAGCATTAGTTATTTTATAACCTTGCTACTTAAGTACGATTCCCAGATCAGCAGCATGACTATAACCTAAGAGCTTTTTGGTTGCAGAATCTCAGGCTCCACTGCAGATTTGTAGAATCAGAACCTGCATCTTAACGTTTGCAGATAACTCATACAGTCAAGCTTAGGAAACATTTTGTAAGGTCAAGCCCATGTGGATCCCTTCACCTTTATTGGATGCTTCTCACTGACCAGGGGAACTTGATTTACTACCCCTTCAGTCTGATTTTCTAGTCGCTGGGAGGTGTGTGTGAGTGATTAAATTCTAGTCATCATTTTAGACACAACTCATCCCCAGAAAGCCTTCCAAGCCCTCTGAAGCTCTGTTACCAATGTTCCTTAAACTTCCACATCTCTAACTGAGACTGTTTAGTCTTCATTCAGCAAATACTTATTGAGCGCCTGCTGTGCACCTAGCTGGATTCTGTGACAGCGTGGGGAGAAGGCGCAGATCCTCTGAGAGCTCCTTCAGGTCCAAATCCAGGGCCGTACTAGCCTACACCATTCAAGGTTCGAGATTGTGTGCGCAGCACTCGAATATATAGCTACACTGGGAACTGCGTGGCTCTTCTGTGTATTACGGCGTCCTCCTTCCGCCCCCGCGAGCGCCGGCGGAGACCCACGGGTTCCACTCCGCGTTAGCTGCGGGGAAAGGAGGACCACAGGGAATAAGAACCCCGGCGTCCTGTTCTGGCTTGGGCCCGCATGGAGGGGACCGCGGAGTCCCAGACGCCTGACCTGCGAGACGTGGAGGGCAAGGTGGGCAGGAAGACCCCTGAAGGGCTGCTCCGTGGGCTGCGAGGCGAGTGGGAGCTGGGAACCTCTGACTCCCTGCTCCCGGGGGCGTCTAGCACCGGCCACGGCCTTGGAGACAAGATCTTGTCGCTAAGGATGGAGCTGGTGAGTGCGGGTGCCACAGGCCGGAGGAGTGAGTGGTGGAGGGGTAGGGAGAATAACAGAGTCCCTAGCGCAGGGCCGAAGGGACGCGCTCTGGACCCGAGTTAGGCTGGAGAGGGGGGACTTAAAAACTTTCCACCTAACTCCAAAGGGTCCCTCTCAGATCAGTCCATAAGCCCTGGAATGGAAGTGGGTTGACGACCATTAATTGTCGCCCAAGGGTTAGCCAAGGGTTGATGAGTCCTGAGGACTGGAAGAAGGAGGCACAAGCTCTTGGAAGTTTTTCTTGCCAAATATTTGGGAGGAGGGAGGTTGTGAGCTGGAAAGCACTAAGAACCTAATGCAGCGCAATTCTCCCTCCTCCCATAGGAGGTCTCCTGTGCCCCCAATCCCATTATAGGACAACCAACTACGGGGTTTTTTTCCACCTCCTGCAAACTGGGAAAGAGTGGTTCCTGTGAAGCAGGGTTGGAGGTGGGTGGGGGAGTGTTCATGACAGGTTTCAGCACAGAAGAGATTTAGGTGAGGACACATTGGCTGAAAATTGCCTAGGCTAGAGCACTGGAAAACATCTCCCTTGGGCTGATGGAGTGGCTCAAGTGGTAGAGCACCTGCCTAACAAGAGTGAGGCCCTGAGTTCAAACCCCACCACTGAAAAAAAAAATCCATTTCTTCAAGAACAGCTTCAATCCACTTAAAACACTTGAAAAAAATTTAGGCCCATAGCTGAGACAGTAGCAGCACCATCAGTGTTGATCCTTCACCTGGGACTCAGTCTCCTCCCTGAGGACCTCCCAGAATACTGAATATTTGAATCTCATCTGTGCCTTCTTGGGGAGAAGAGGAGAAAACAGCGGCCCTCCCCCTTCTCTGGAGCTGCTGGACTAGATTCAGAGCCCAGAGGGCAGCTGGGGCCCCCTACAGGCTCCCCAGGGCCCTGGTTCTGGTGAAAGAGGTGATTTACACCTGCCACCACTCTGCAGTTAGTTCTGAGGAACTAAAGAATTGCCAGCCACTCCCTGGGTCAGAACCAGGAGCCTACAGCGAGTAAATCAGCTTATAAATCTTCCTGGAATCCCACTGTGTGCCCCAACTCTGTGTACCCCAGAGTGATCTGGGAGGGAGAAGAGAGAGGAGATCCAGAAGGCTCCCAGGCCAGCCTAGGGTTCTCACCACTTGGGAGAAGAGGCCATGAGAACCTCCTGGGCTGAGTAATCAGGAAGGCTCCCGGGGGCAGTACTTGAATGCCAAGTGCACTTGGCCTTGAAGTTTGGAGGTGAGTGCCAAATTCTCTAGAGCAGAGTTAGGACTGTACTCACCTCAGAAAGGGCCTGGTTTTGCTTCATTGTACAAACTTAAGCTCAAGAGCCTATCTGGTCTGGTCTGTACTGATTTGAAAACTAACTCCCCCCTACACCCCCAGATTTTTAAGAGTTTTGCTATGTAATCTAGGCCAATCTTCAACTCATGATCCTCTTGCTTCAGCCCCCCCCCCCAAGAGCTAAATTAACAGTGTGTACCGCCGTGGCCAGTTGAAAACAAACTTTTACTGAGCACATATGCCAGGCATCATGCTGAGCACTTTACACCTTTCTGTATTGGGTATTTTGGAGATAGGGTCTCGAAAACTATTTGCCCAGGCTGGCTTTGAACCGTGAACCTCTCAAGTATTTAGGATTACAGGTGTGAGTCACCAGTGCCCGGCTCTCTGTATTCTTGTCCTGTCTGACCTGTAGCCATGAAAGGCACAAGGGAGGGAACTTTTTGGGGGGTGAGAACAAGGAGAGGATTCCTATCCTACTCCTTTCTTCCTCCTCAGGCCAGAATGTCATTGATCTTTTCATGCATTCTCCCCTGCCCACTGTTTGTACCCAGGAAGGACATGGAGTAGGACAGGAGGTTTCCCTTGGAGCCAGTGGAGGCAAGCCCTCCTAGGACTGTCCTTCAGTTGTCCCTCTTCCTACTTTCCTTATAAGGAGGGGGCAGGCTTGCCCTTGAGGACAAGGTTAGCCTTGCCTTTAGAATCTCTTTCCTTTTGCTTTCCTCTCCTAGTAGAGGTTGACTGAAGAGCCAGATTCTGGAATATGTGAGAATGGGAAACAATGGCATCCTCCCCTCTTTAGTTCTCCTACCCAAAGAACTGTTGCTACGACAACACACCTTCACAGAACAGTTTGCCAAAAAAGCATTAGGCAAGAAGGGAAAGACACGAGTTCAAATCTTGTCTCTGCTTCTGAAGCATTTTGTGATCCTAACAACAAAGCCCTGTCTCTCTCCTGGCTTCAGTTTTTTCTATTTTGTGGTCAGGAAAGTAAGGGGAGAACTGTAGAACCAGATAATCTGTGAGAACCTTTCTAGTGACAGTCATCTGAGACTCTCAATCCATTACTAGAGATCCAAAATTGGGATCTCCAAATTTTTACCCCCAGGGTTGGATTTGTTTTAAGCAATGAGAGAGCCATATCCAGGACCCTAGGCTGGGCATATGAGGAGTAAGAAGCCTGAATCCTCCAACGATAATTGGGTTGGCATAGCCTCTGAGGCTGTGTCTCTCCTGAGCCACTTATTCCCTGCTCTGTTTCCAAAGAGATGGTGTGAAATGAATGTTTCTTTTTCTGGAAAGAAATTCTTGCTTCTATTTTGGGGAGTGATGCTATCACAGATAGGGAATCCCACTGTCACAGGATTATAGAATCTGGTGCTTAGATTTATCTCCTAGCAACACAGTAAAATCTAGCCCTCTAAGTCCTGGGGACCCCAGAGAGGCCAGATAGTAAAGGCAAGAGAAGGTAATGTGACCTATGCAACCCTAGGTAGAGTACCTGAAATGAGTTGGGTAGGACCTGCTGTCAGGGAGCTCACACCTGGGTTAGGGAGGGAGGAAGATGGACCAACAACTCTAGGATGAGAAGTACTTTGGAACTAGGGAGGGCCATCAACAAGAGGTTTTTTGTTTTTGTTTTTTTGAGGGACTGGAGTTTGAACTCAGGGCCTATACCTTGAGCCACTCCACCATCCCTTTTTTGATGTGTTTTTTTGAGATAGAGTCTTGTGAACTCATGAACTATTTGCTCCGGCTGGTTTCCAACCTTGATCCTCCTGATCTCTGCCTCCTGAGTAGCTAGGATTACAGGCGTGAGCCACCAGCACCCAGCTCAAGTTCCTATCTCGAAAACACCCAACACAAAACAGGCCTGGAGGAGGGGCTCAAGTGGTAGAGCACCGGCTGCTGAGCAAGCATGAGGCCCTAATTTCAAACCCCAGTACTGCTTCCCCCCCAAAAAACAATCTGTTTAAATTGATAGCAGTAGTGCTTAGGTATGGTTCAGTGGTAGAGAGCTTGGCCTAGTATGCCAGAGACCCTGAGTTTGATCCATAGCACTGTTAAAAAAAAAAATTGTCCCATGATGGAATGGATTAATTTTATCTTGACGAAGGTCAGGGATGACTTCCTAGAGAAAGAGGCACTTGAGATAGGCCTTAAAGAATGAACAAAATTTGTGGGAACTTATTTCAAGAGGGCAGACTGTACCAACATGCACTTACATCAGTTGCTTTCTGAAACTGCATGATACCAAGTGACAATGAGAATAATTGAGAATAATGTCAAAATAATAAAATTTTGACAGGAACAAAATTTTGGAAGCTGAAAAGCAGAAGGTGTAACTAATTCAGACTTGAAAAAGCTGAATCCGAAGCCAGCAGTAGGGCAAGCTGAAAATTCTTATAAAAACTCTCAAAGGTCTTAGGAGTTGGAAGCACTAGGTATTTCTGGAACTGAGGGCACAAATAGGCCTGAAAACAAAAAGGTTCCTTGAATGTGTAAGAATCATATTCTAAGCCAAGCCTGGTGATGCTGAGGAGGCTGAGGTACTCAGGAGGCTAAGGCAGGATTGAGAGTTTGAGACCAGCCTGGACTACATAGAGAAACCTGTCTTAAAACAAAACAAAAAGGTGTGGTTGAGTGGCTCAAGGTATAGGCCCTGAGTTCAAGCCTCAGTGCCACACACACACACACAAAAAAACAAAACAACAAACAAAAGAATCATATTCTAAGATCTCCTCCCTGACTGTGAAGCCAGGTACCAGCTACTCTATCTAGCTGAAGACAGGAGATGTTAAGTTTTAGAAAAGTAGAATGGAAGGAAGGAAGGAAGGAAAGATAAAGTATAACACTAAAAATTAGAAGACAATGGAACAATGTCTTAAATCCTGAGGAAAAGTTATATTTAATCTTGAATTCTGTATCCAACATTTTAAAACACGCAAGCTTCAACCTCTTTTGCAGACTTTCTCAGAGTCCTAATACAGGGAGAGTACCACTCACCCAAATGTAGTAAATCAAGAAAGAAGATATGGGTGGGATTGAAAAAACAAGGGACCCAACCCAAGAAAGAGGCAAAGGAAATCCCTAAGAGGATCATGATTTGAGGCCAGCCCAGGCAAATACTCTGAGAGACTCCATCTTCAAAATAACCAGAGCAAAATGGACTGGAGGTATGCCTGCTTTGCAAGTGCAAAGCCCTCCTGAGTTCAAACTCCAGTCCCACCAAAAAAAAAAAAAAGAAAGGAAATCCCTAAGATAATAGTGAAAGGAGGTCCCTGGAGAACAGTTGTGCAGCAGGGACAAATTGGAGCAGATCAGAAGGGCCCTAATGAGATGCCTCTAAGAAGATGAAATACATAATGCATGTGATATGTTTGAAAGTCTTTAGAGAGAAATCCAGACAATTGGAGGAGAGTTTGGGAATGACTTACCGATAACTACATACTTTAAGTATAAAGTAAGAAATAAAAAGTATAATAAAATATATGGCATGGTTATGAGCGTTTCCAAATCCTAATAAACACTGAATAACTGTATTGTCTTTTGGGAGGATGGGAAATGGGGAGGGCATCTGTATATGATATGGGAGTGGGAAGTGGGTGAAAGTTAAATTTTTAACCCATACTGTGGAAAGTCAATAGAAAATGCCTAAAACTTAAAAATCAAGAAGTTGTAGTATGCCGGGTGCTGGTGACTCACACCTATAATCCTAGCTACTCAGGAGGCAGAGATCAGGAGGATCACAGTTCAAAGCCAGCCTGGGCAAATAGTTCTCGAGACCTTATCTTGAAAAAAACCCATCACAAAAAAAAGATCTGATGGAGTGGCTCCAGGCGTAGGATCTGATTTCAAACCCCAGTACTGGAAAAAAAAAAAAAAAAGTTGCAATATAAGCATGTTATTTAGAGATTGGGGATAAATGCTAAAATAAACAGCTAACAATTAACAATAATAGTTCTGGACACACTTAATACATACCTGTAGTCCCAGCTACTTGGGGTAGAAGGATCAGTTGTGCCTAGAAATTCTAGGCTACCCTGGGCTATATAGTAAGACCGTGTCTTAAAAAATAGTAGTTGTCTCTAGAAAGTGGCATTTAGGATTAGGATGGAAGAACTGTTATAAATCTTGTAGAACTGTTTGCCTTTTTATATGTATTTATTAATTTGATTAAAAGTGAAACTAAGTAAAAATGTAACAAGTTGTGTGTGACAGAACCTGGGGTCACAGAGAAGTATGAAACTGGAGAGATGATGCACAAGGGCCACATTGTGACGGGCTTTTGAATGCCAGCTGCTGAAATGTTTAGATTTCATTCTCTTAAGAGCTCTTGAGCAGGGGAGGGACAAGCTCAGACTTGCGCTTGGAGCGTCTGCACTGGGAGGGACCCTGGAGATTACCCACTAAATCAAACTTACTTCTAGTGCAGACAGAGAGACTGGTGTGTGGTAGAGGGAAGCCCTGAATTTCCCCAACTATGGGAATCCTGACCCTTCTTAGCTCTGACTAAGGCTTCCCTCCCTCAGTTTTCCTACCAACACTCTGAAGGGAATAGGGAACCAGGTGAACACCCTCTTTATTCCTTAGCTCCTTTTGTCCTAATATACTTTACTCATGCAAGGCAGGCACTCTACCAGTGACCTATACCCCCAGCCTTGGTTTTTTTTTTTTTTTTGGTGGTGGTGGACAGGATCTCACTATGTAGCTCAGGCTGGCCTCAAACTGTCAATCCTCCTGCCTCAAACTCCTGAGTGCTGGAATTACAGATATGTACCACCATGCCTGACTTAGCCCTGGATTTTAATACTTAACATTTACTAAGACCTGACTGTGCTAGACACTGTGTTAAGAGCAAAATAGATAGCATTTCAGAATCCTTACTACCACCCTGTGAGGTGAGTGATAAGATAGCTCCCCACAGTCATATCATAATCAATAGAAAAGCTGCTTTTTAAATTTATTTATTTATTTATTTATGTGCTGGGGTTCCAAGCCAGGCCTCACACATACTAGGCAGGTGCTCTGCCACTTGAGCTACACCTCCAGCTCCCCAAGCTGAAATTTTAAATAGCAGTCCATCTGCTTCTAAAACCCATACTACAAATCATTCTATTTCCATGCTTCTTGAACGTAAAGCATAGCTGATTTGACTGCAAAATTGGGGTCTCTAGAAACATCAGGCAAACCCGTAGCCTAGAACCTGGGACTAATGCCTGTTCCCATTCCTGCAGGCTTACCTTCGAGCCATCGATGTGAAGATCCTGCAGCAGCTGGTGACCTTGAATGAGGGCATGGAGGCCGTGCGCTGGCTTTTGGAGGAACGGGGGATGTTGATCAGCCATTGCAGTAGCCTCACCAGCAGCCAATATAGCCTTACAGGCGGGAGCCCAGGCCGCTCAAGGAGAGGCAGCTGGGAAAGCCTGCCAGATACCAGCTCCACTGACCGGCTAGACAGTGTCTCTATTGGCAGCTTCTTGGACACTGTGGCCCCCAGAGAGCTGGATGAACAGGGCCCCCCTGGGGCCTCCTGTCCTGAGATGGACTGGGCAAAGCTTATACCCAGTGAAGAAAGGGCCAGGACTGAGGTGGACCTGACAGCCACCAAGCTAGGGAGCTTGAGGGCTGTGTGGACACCCTCCGAGGAGGGGCTCCAAGGTGAACCACCTGAGCCACTAAAGGATGAGAGTGCCAAACTGGGTTTTGAGGTCCACTGGTACTGGGGACAGTGCCAAGATGATGTGACCTTCTTGTAACAACTTTCCCACCCTTTTGTGCTCTTTTGGCTCTTTCATCACTTGGCCCTGGTCTTCCTCAAAATTTATTCTCCCTCAATCTGTGGCTAGGAATAGGCTGCACTGAAATAAGTCACCATGGAAACCTGACTTTACCATCTCTTTGGTCCCTAGGGAGTCTCTGCCTGTATAACTCAATTATTGGGTCCCTACAGCTATTTCCATAGAGATACTGACTCTGGAGGCTTAACCTGTGGCTGCTGATGTGAGGGTATCTTCATGCTCCTCCCCCAGCTAGGGAAGGATTTAAGGAACTTAGGGCCCCCAGGAGATCATTGATGAGGGATTGGGGTGTGATCACCTCATCCAAAGTCTAGGACCCTTGGTTCCCTCTTGGCCAAGATGGAGTATTGAGGAAGAGTATGGCATCCAAGGACAAACATTCATGGATTGGCCCTCACTTAAGTGTTTGGAATTGATAGGCCCACCCCTTCCTATCTGCTGAGTGATGTCATTTCCTGCTGGATGAACTACTGCTTCTTCTGTACCAGTCCTTGGATGGTATGTGATAGGTCAGTATAGGAGGTGTCTGCTGTGAAGTGAGACCATACCACTTAATGTCTGTACCATTCTTCTAGTGATTGGGAAGACATCTGCCCTTCTGGCAGAGAGTTTGTCACTGGTAGATTTCAGTGCTGCTTTTTTAGAATGTTCTTACTTTTTAAACAGGGTGTTCTCATTTTGTTCCAGGGGTCTCACTTCCTTTGTGGCTGCATCCCTGTCTGGTGCCAACACTTTTATCCCTTTGCTTTTAGGGAGAGAAACTATCAGGGGCCTCTACCAAAGACTCTCAAGTCTGCTTGGCTTATTCTGTCACAGGGCCCTGCCAACCCTGTCCTGTGCTGCCCCAGTCCTGTATCCTGGCTCTGTATCTGACTACCAGGAGGTTCAGACTCTTCATGCCTTGGGCCTTTTATATGCAAATGATTCCTTACCTTCTCACTCTTGGAGGTCTCCGGGCTCTGTGGGTATACTAGAATCTTGGTAGGGAGGTGTTTTTTCTGTGAGTACCCTTCCCCCACCCTGTCCCGCCTTCTACCATTTGGTCACAAGGATGCCTGCCTGAAGTTGGGATACAAGGAATCCCCTTGTCTCAGCTACAATGTGGGGGTGTGACAGGAAAAGACAGAGGCTCTTTGGTACTTGGTCCTCATCCTGGGAGGGGGAAGGGACAAGGGAAAATTCTCCTTTCTCCCTTAAAGCAAGCCCTTGGCTCCTGGGACCTGAGATGAGCTGAGGACTGGCTCTAGGGCCTGGTCTCAAGGCACTAGATAATTACACCAAAGAAGAAATTCAGGGAAGCTGCCGACCCTGGGAGTCAGGGAGAGGACAGGCTTAGAGAAAGGGAGGACACAGGCTGTGGCTGATGTCAGAATGAATTCTTGGAGATTAATCCTTTGAATCCCAGGAAATTGCCCCGTATATCGGCCCCATCTTTCCTGGGCCCTGAAATTAGATTACTGGAGAGAAAAGAGGGAATAAGGATGATCTTTGGCTGTTGGGTGTGCCCTCCTCAGTTAGAGGAGTCTTCTTAAAATCCAAATCCTGGAATAACTCCTGCCATTTCTCTGCTTTTCGTTCCATATTGGAGAAGTAAAGGAAGCCAAGTTGATTGTTTCTACTTCCCCTCAAGTAGTTGTTTTGCAACTCCCACCCCAATCCTGTAGCAGTACGTTCAGTACATGGTCCTTCCCTAAAGACCCTACTTCCTTCTCCCGTCTCCTCAAGGTGATTGCAGTCTGCACAGCAACCTCTCAGCCTTTTCTCTGCTGTCACCAGACCTCTTCTTACCACTCCTCCTGACCTCCCTCCCTGGAAATTTGAATATCCTATTCCAGTCCCTACTCTGTCGCCATTTCATAGCACTCTTTTGGGTAACCACCCTTCCTCTTGGATGCCATTGTATTCCTTTTGTTTTGTTTTGGTTTTTGTTTTTTTGAGACAGGGTCTTGCTGTGTGGCCCAGGCTGGCCTTGAACTCACTATGTAGCCCAAACTGGCCTTAAATTCATGATCCTCCTGCCTCAGCCTCCCCAGTGCTGGGACACTTTGAGACCTTATTCAGGCTGACGTCATCTAATCTATAAAGAGAAGTGGCTGCTCGCCCCCTTGTGGCCATTATGTATCACTGCAGGAGTTACTTAGAACCTCCAAACTCAAAATTGTGTATTCTTCCAGAACATCAGCCCCCTCAGTGCACAGACAGGTAGACAGGGAGACCTAGAGAGGATATAGATTTGACTAGTACCACCCACTGTAAAACTGTGGCAATGCCCAGTTTAGAAAACCCGTCACCTGCCTTTATGCCCACAGCTCTGTCACTCGGCCAATCTGCCCCAGTCAGCACTCAGAAAGCCCAAAGGAACTGAAAACTAATATCCCCCTATTGAATGTTTTAGTCTTCATCTCACTCCCAGTCCTTCTGTAAAGACTAAGCTTCAGGCTCTGAGGAAAGAACTATAGGCTTCAGAGAGGAGAAAAATCAATCCTGGAAACAACCAATTTTTTTTCTGAAAAGGGAGGGGAGTAGGTCCAGACGTGGGGTCAGAGCTCAGCATTTTAGATCTGGAGGTTAGAAGTCAGTGTGGGGAGCTATGAAATTAGGAAGACAGATGAATCTTGTAGAGGTGAGAGTGTACCACAGATTAGGGTCAGGTGGAAGGCACCAGAGAGTATTAAGGGACTGGAGAGGTGGGGCAAGTGAGGCTGCCTGGAAACTTCAGGTAGGTCTGGCTATTCTTTCTTAACACCTTAGACTCTAGTTTACTACCAGAGAAGCTCAGGAACCTCAATAAAAACACATCCTTGGTCCCTCCTACCTGCCTGCAGACTGGCTGGTTGAGGCTCAGTTGTCCCGTTAGTGTAGACTTCTGGGTTACAAGAAGGAGCTATTTGGGAGCTCAGAGAAGAAGGGAGGAAAACAGAGACAAGAGAGAATAAAATGAAAACAGGCTTTTGAAAGTATGAGCTGGAACAAACTCCCAAGTGTTCGGAGGCCTTTGTCAGGGCTCAGGGTAAAGGCAGAGAAGAGACCCCTCATGGCAGCTGCAGAAATAGCACCTGGTCAGAATGGAACAGAATGACCATCAGGGGCACATGCAGGAGGTTGAGCACTAGGCTGACTGGGAAGCTTGGGCAGGTTCAGTGAGGAATGTTTGGGGTGTTGACACAAGCTCATTGTGTGTATGGTGTCAGGCACACATTGAGTATTCAGTTACACCTCCTCAGCGTAGAGGAATGAATTTGTGTAAACCTACAAGGAAATACGACTTATAAAAAAAATCAAGTTGGTTGTTTATACATTAGGCATTCTAAAACAATTCTTAGCAACCCTATAAATAGTACATTGTTACAATGTGTTGCTTAGAAATTTGTTGAAGGTCAGATATGTAACAAATTGTAAGTAATAATATGAACCCAGGTCAGTGTGACTTCAGGGGCTTCCAGGAAGTCTGTGACTCCCTGGACCCCACCCTCCAGATTCACACATACCTTATTCTCTCAGGAGCAGAGGCAATGTATTAGTTTCCTGTTGTGCTAATTACCACAAAGTTAGTGACTTAAAAACCACAGTTATGCCAGGTGTAGTGTAACCCATCTATAATCCCAGCATTTGGGAGACTGAGACAAGAAGATTAGGAGTTTGAGGCCAGCCTGGGCTACATAGAACCTGTATCAAAACAAAAAAAAAGGAAAGTAAACCTGCCATGGTGGTGGTGGGGTAGACCTGTAATCTGAGTTAGGCCTGTAATCTCAAAATCCTTAATTTGGGAGGCTGAGAAAGTAGGATCACAATTTCAAGGCCATTCTGCAATTCTGTTAGTCCCTATCTCAAAATAAAAGTAAAAAAGTGCTGGGGGCCCACCCAGCACAACAATAAAGGAAAAAAAAAATATATATATATATATAAAAGAGTGCTGGGGGATGTTAATTTAGTAGTAGAGTACTTATGTAGCATACATGAGACGCTGGGTTCAATCCCCAGTACCACAAAAACAAGAAAACAACAGTTACTATTTGATAGTTCTGCAGGTCAGGTTAGCCCAGGGATAAATTAAAGTGATTTTAGGCCTCTGTTCCTTCCAGAGGTTCTATTGGAGTCTGCTTCCTTGCCTTTTTCAGCTTCCAGAGGCTGTTTACTTTTTTTTTTTGCATCTCAAAAAAAAAAAAAATCCACTAATGTAGTTTATTCATACCACATTAGTAAATGTGTAAGTGATGTTCCCATCTAACAAAGCTTGCTGCAGTTTTGCAGGCAGATTGCTGTTTCATCTTGTGTATACTCAAGGGAGCTGGTTAATAACGACCATGAACCTTTCAAAGCTTTACTTTTATCAGCACTCCTGATCTTATAAACGATGAAACTCATCAACCCCATTCCTACCCAGGTCTTCTGGTAAGCCTGGGTATAGTAGGGTTTCATGGGGATCCAGACATTTTTAATACTGTTTTGAAGCATCTTTGGAGGAGCAAGGGCTCAGGCCCCAGCAGACCCGGCAGCCAGATAAGAAAGTGCTGTCTGCATTTCGTGGTTCTTGACTCCTTTTATCCTCAAGGCTGGTCACATAACATTATTTCTTTTCTCCAGCCTCTGCTTCTGTCCCTGCGTCCCTCTACCTACTGCTACCATCTCCCTCTTACAAGGATTACATTGTGATTTTATATCCCTGTGATTACTTCGGGCCCAGTGGGATAATCCAGGGTTATCTTCCTATCTCAGGATCCTTAATTCAGACGTATCTTCAAAGTCCCTTTTGCCATTTTAGGTAAATACTCATCAATTCTTGGGATTAGGCAGTACACATCTTTGGGGGTAAAGGCTGTTATCCAGCTTGCCATAGTCAGGAATGGAGGGTAGGGAGGAGGATGCACCCTGGCCCAAAATGAACCCCTATGTTTTGTCTTCTTTCGGCCTAGAGTGATTGGTAGGGCCAAGAGGGAAGTGGCACATTCAGGCCCCATGTCTGGAGAAAAGTAAGTGCCTCCTACACCATCAAACTTAGACTTAGAGCCAGGTGCCAGTGATTCACACCTGTAATCCTAGCAGGAGGCAGAGATCAGGAAGATTGCA